TATCCTTTGAAAGTCTGAAATTTATCTTCCTGCCTTGCCGGGTTAATTACTTCAGTGTGGTTTGTGTTGGTTTTTTTTTATTTTATTTCTAATGATCTTTACTTTGGGTTCGGACTGCATTTCGGCCCTTCATAGACTGTTTTTTTTAAAAAAAGTTTTATATCCAGCCGAGGATAATTGGACATTAGGGCCAAGTTGGAGGCATTAAAGGGAATTTATTCTACTTTGGTGACTTCGTTATTTTTGTGTCATGCCCTGGGTCATCACATTTGTGCGAGCAGCAGGCACACACCCTTGCTATTCACACAAATGGAGCGGTGCACATCTGTGCACTCGCCTGCTACTCCAAGTGGAGCTGCATACGTGTGCACTATGCTGGCCTGCCACTTCCATGGCCTGGTTCTGAATGGGCCATGGTCTGGTACTGTGCCACAACCTGGGGGTTAGGAGACCCCTTACCATAGCTGTCTCCACTCCATGTTTGGCAGATACACACAAACTGAGACCTTTTTGGGGTTCCCATTAATAGACCCATAGCAAGCAAAACTCCGAGGTGGGTGGATTCCTCAACGAAAAGCTTTATTGGATATGTCACATTGGCACAGATCTGGTGAAAACAGTTCCCAAGGTTTTCTGAAGGTTCCCACAGTTTTCACCTAATTAAAAGTAAAAGCTTGTCACTTTCTCAAAACAATCAGTCACATGGTCCAATCACGGCACTACCTGGTTGCCTAGTGACATCACTCCATTTTCCTTTGACCAGGTTTGAGAATGTCCTTGGTTCCCAAGAGAAAGTATTTTGTTTTGGCTACAAAACCCCAGCTATCTCAAATTCTCCTCTCCCTATCCCTCAGCTCCAGTATGGCAACAGGTCAGCTTCAGGGTTGACAACTTTCTCTTCTTGTGATGAGTTGAGAAGCATAACTACAAAGGGATTTAAGACATGGTACTTCCTTGTCTAGAAGTTGGAGTACAACCAAAACCTACCTGGAAATTCTGCAAGCAATATAGAAATATTAATCAACCAACGGATATAATCTAATGACTTGGTTTCTTGTATCTTCTGTGGATATTTTATCCTTGGACTTCAAGGAGATCAAATCAGTCAGCTCTAAAGGAAATCGGTCCCGATTGTCCTTTGGAAGGAGAGATGCTGAAGCTGAAGATCAAATGCTTTGGCCACCAAAGGAGAAGATATGACTCCTTGGAGAAGACCCTGATGTTGGGGAAGATGGAAGGTCAATGGAGAAGGGGATGGCAGAAGATGAGATGGTTAGATAGTGTGATCAAAGCAATAAATTTGGCAAACTCTAGGAGAGCTTGGAGGACCAGGGCTTGGCAGGCTATGGTTCACAAGGTCATGAAGAGTTGGACACAGCCAATCAGAATGGAGCTTGAAGGGACCTTGGAGGTCTTCTACTCCAACCTCCAGCTCAAGCAGGAGACCCTATACCATTTCTGACAGATGGCAGTTCAGTCTCTTCTTTAAAAACTCCAGTGATGGAGCACCTACAACTTCTGAAGGCAACTTCTGTTCCATTGGTTAATTGTTCTCCATGTAGTGACTGAGCAACAAAATTGTGTGTGTTACTGATTTAATTCAGGTGCAGATCGCTGATTTGTCTCAAGGCTCTATCCCTAGATTATTCTTGAAGGTGTACTTTCAGGGACTGAGTCTACTCTAACTGAGTTGCCATAAAGAAACCGATAGATTGACAGTGATTTCAACAGAAGCTTCCTGCATTTACATCTAAGGTTCAAGAGCATACAACTGTCCCATTAGCTCAAGGGGCACATCACACACTAGGAAACATGCTGAGAAGGGCACAAAACCATATTTTAGGAACATTGTATGAGACTTTTCCATGTTCTTAAGGGACGGAATAATGCCTGCAAACCATAGATTTAAAACCACAAATAGCAAGGTTGTGAAAGGATACCGAAAAAGGCAGAGTAAAGATAAGTGTGCTGGATGTGGAAAGCCTGAGTTGGGTGTGGTGGGTTGTGTGGTTTTGTTGGTGGGGGGACATGGTGGCTTGCTTCTCTCTTCCAAGGATGTCCCAAGAACATACACGATACTTAGGGAAAATCGCCTTTGTTTAACATTTTGTCAATTTCCTCATCAGTACGAAGAGGAACTACTCTTGGCAAGCCACACATTTTCAGTCCATTTCTTACAGAAATTGGATCTGAGATTCTTTAATTGAACTTGCAATTCCATCATGTTGCTTATTGTGGCATAGTTTGAGAAGAGAAGCAAAAAGGATTAGGAGAGTGAAGGCTAAAACATATGAAGAATGGTCACAAGAATCGGGATTGTCTAGTCTAACGAAGAAAAGGACCAGGGGTAACATGATAGCACTCTTCCAATATTTGAGGGGCTGCCACAGAGAGGAGGAGGGGGTCAAACTATTCTCCAAAGTACCTGAAGGGCAGGACAAGAAGCAACAGATGGAAACTAATCAAGGAGAGAAGCAAACTAGAACTAAGGAGTGATTTCCTGACAGCGAGGACAACTAATCAGAAGATGTGGGTGCTCCAACACTGGAGGTTTTCAATAAGAAATTGGACGACCATTTGTCTGAAGTAGTACCAGGTCTCCTGATTGAGCAAGGGGTTGGACAAGAAGACCCCCAAGGTCCCTTCCAGCTCTACAGGGAGGACAATTAACCAGTGGAACAGCTTGCCTTCGGAAGTTGTAGGTGCTTCATCACCGGAGGTTTTAAAGAAGAGACTGGATGGTCACTTGTCTGAAATGGTATAGATCTCCTGTTTGAGGAGGGGGTTGGACTAGAAGGCCTCCAAGATCTCTTCAAGCTCAATTCTGATTGGTTACATCAAACTCTTCATGACCTCATGGACTATAGCATGCCAGGTGTTCCATCCTCCACACTCTTCCCCCAGAGTTTGCCAAATTCATTGCGTTGATGTCACTACCAACCATCTCATCCTTTGCTGTCCCCCTCTTTTTTGGCCTTCCATCTTTCCCAACATCAGGGTCTTCTCCAAGTAGACCTCTCTTCTTGTTTGGTAGCCAGGGGAGGACAGATCTCTTGTCTTCCATTATCTCCCAGACTTTGCCCATTGCATTGATGACTCCATCTAACCATTTCATCTTGTGCCATCTCTTTTTCCTTCCACCTTCCCAACATCAGGGTCTTCTCCAAGGAGTCCTCTCTTCTCCTTGAACGGCCAAAGTATCTGAGCTTCGGCTTCAACATCTGTCTCTTCTAACTTTCTTATTTCATTATTCATGTAATGGCCTTTAGCATGCTGGTCAATGCATCCTAAACTATGATTCAGAGATATGAATTTCCCAAGTGGCGATACAAATTTAGAAGGTTGAAGGGCCAACAAACCAATCTTGATTATCCCCACTAAGTACATATTCTTTTGTGGGGGGAGGTAGAGAATATTATTATTTTTTCTTTCTTGACTTGGCTCAGTCCATGTTGCAATTTTTGTTTGCTGATCGATGGGGTCCGATGAGAACTTTTTCCCCTCACCGTTCCTAAAGCTTAATTTTAATCAAGATGTCTATGTTTGCAATCGCTATCACAATTAGTTGATTCACACAGGAACCTCACCTCTCACTTTAGAATGTGATTAGCAAAAGTATTATTACTGTTGCAACAAATGGATTTTGCATACAAGAGTGAGCTGCAGCAAATGCATGGAGCGTTGCACTTTTGCGTAGAATTTGACAGTTGTATTGTACTTTTTAATTAAAAAAAGACCCCCTCTATTACTCTTAAAAAAAAAAAAAAAGCCTTTCCCCCTCTTGAGTCTGCACCAATTTAATCTGGTTTTGATGCACCGTAAATAATGCTTCCATAGAAAATATGGAGAGAAAAACCCATACTTCTTGCCATAATGATTTTTTTTTTCTGCACATTATAACTTCTGAAATAGGACAATCCATAAAAAATATGAAATATAGGCAATAGGTCCTAGATATAATTCTGGATACCAGCGAGAATAATTAATAACATTAAGATGTGGTTTTGCAGTCTGGGGAGGATGTTTTTAATTTGTTTACAGACATTAAACAAATGGAAAATTACGTTATATGGGTTGTATTGATATCTCTCTCCCACTTTTCTCTCTCTCCCTCTTTTCTCTCTCCCTCTTCTCTCTCTCTCCCCCCTCCTTTTTTCTCTATCATCCAGCTCTCTTTTCTCTCTCTCATCTCTCCCTCATCCATCCAATTTATCATCTGTCTGTCTATCTGTCTATGTATCTGTCTGTCTGCCTGTCTCTCTCATCTATTGCTCATCTATCATCTGTCATCTTATCCATCTCCCTTCTATCTTTCATCTCTCTCTCTCTCTCTCTCTCTCTCATTTATCTATCTATCTATCTATCTATCTATCTATCTATCTATCTATCTATCTATCTATCTATCTCTATCTGCCTACCTACTATCTATCTATCTATCTATCTATCTATCTATCTATCTATCTATCTATCTATCTATCTATCTATCTATCTATCTATAATCTATGTTTCTATCTATCATCTATCATTTTTCTGTTTCTATCATTTCTATCTCTCTATCAGCAAGTTTATATGCCATATAAGACTTTGCCAGTATTGAAAATCTCTCTCTCTCTCTCTCTCTCATTCTCTCTCTCTCTCTCTCTCTCTCTCTCTCTCACACACACACACACACACACACACACCCCTCATCTCTATATTGCATAAAATGATAGACCTTCCATTTCCTGCACTTTATTATCTTTTAGAAGCACTTGGCTAAAACTCTGACCACCATGACTGGCTTTGATCAATAAGGAACATGGAACAAAGAACTACAAGGTTTTTGTACAGTTTGTGGTGGAATGTGACTCACTTGGCAAGTGTTGTCACCCACCTGTATTGGCCCCACCGTGAATAGGAGTTGGGTAACTTCCTCCTTCCGACCTCGAGCTTCTGGTGGGGGAATACCCTGTCCGCCCTATAAAGAGGCCTCCTTCGCTCAGCTTTCTTCACACCTGCCAGCACTGAGAAGATGAAGTTCCTTGCAGCTGCTGGACTGCTGCTGCTGCTGCCGCTTGTGCAGAATGTGATCGCTGACCCTACACTTCCAGCCAGGGGAGAGGAAGTGGTAAGAAAAGTTTGTAGCCTGGTGCTGGTGAATTATAGTCCTAGAATGACACCCAGTTAACACCCCAATGAAGGTCAAATTGGGCTCTTAATTTTGCAAAAGACCAGGACCTCTGATCTGTGAGTTTATTATTTATTCTGCAACCATATGCTGCAGAATAGAGAAGAATACAACCTGTTGCCTATTTTATTTTATTTTTATTATCAACCCACCAGTGCGTCTCGTGCACAATACTAGAGACAATCTCTCCAGCAAGAGTTCTCAATCCATAAATCAATGCAGAGAAAGTGAGAGTGGGATCAACTGTGGAAAAATATGTCTTTATTTCAGTTACACGCATTGATTATTTTTTAAGTGAATAGAGCAGCCTGCCTCAAAGGGGTTCTTAGCAAGTTGACGAGAATCTTCCCAGGAATGGTTATGGCAGACGGGATGATCAAGAAGAGATGATGAAATCTACAACAGTTCCTAGGTGTCACCTGCAGACAGAAAGGTCAATTTGCCCAGTGTATTCAGAAACAACAAAGGGAAGATGAACAGAGTTGGAAGAGACCTTGGAGGTCATCTAGTCCAGCCCCCTGCCTTCAAGCAGGAGACTCTACACCATTTCTCCCAAATGGAAGTCCAGTCTCTTCTTGAAAGCTTCCAGTGATGAAGCTCACGCAACTTCTGAAGGCAACTTCGATTCCATGGGTTGATTGCTCTCACTGTCCGGAAATTCCTTCTTATTTCTAATCTGAATCTCTCCTTGATCAGTTTCCATCCATTATTCCTTGTCTGGCCTTTGGGTGCTTTAGAAAATAGGCTGACCCCTTCCTTCTCTCTGGGGCAGCCCCTCAAATATTGGAAGACTGCTATCCTGTCTCCCCTGGTCCTTCTCTTCACTAGACTAGCCAGGCCCAGTTCCTGCAACTGTTCTTCATATGTTTTAGCCTCTACTCCCTTAATCATCCTGGTTGCTCTTTTCTGCACTTTTTCTAGAGTCTCAACCTCTTTTTTTTATAGTGTGATGACCAAAACTGGATGCAGTACTCTAGGTGTGGCCTTACTAAGGCTTCATAGAGTAATATTAGTACCTCAGTTGATCTTGATTGTATCTCTCTGTTAATGCAAACTTAGGATGAAAAGGACAACATAACAGGCCTGTGATGCGAACATTTTGGGGTCTTTTCTAGAATAATTTATATGCATGAGGAAATGGAGAAAAGACAACTTTCTTTCTCTCCTTAGGAATCATCTTTGCAGAAGGGGTTAAGTTTTGGCTGGCATAATCTCCTCTTAATACCCAAGGACTGACTGACTGACTTACTTTCTTTCTTTCTTTCTTTCTTTCTTTCTTTCTTTCTTTCTTTCTTTCTTTCTTTCTTTCTTTCTTTCTTTCTTTCT